TCTTTTAATAGATTGCACTCACACAAACAGCTGGAGTACCGTAATGTTACAATGTGCATCAACATATTAATGATGCAACGTCGTTGTTATTTTATTAACTTTTGACGAAGGTTATGGTCACTTAGTTCGTTGTAATGTGTATGGTATATTTTGTTTATGCTGTATATTAAAGATTGTTGAATGTCGATGGTTGTCTATTCATTTAATAAAGAGTACAAAGCTCATGTTAGAGACGTGACTAGAACGTTAATTGAGGGTGTATATTCATATATTCAGTTGTGCCCTACTGATTTCTTTGGAATTCAAAATACTTTCAAAAGAAATTAGTATGGCACAACGTAATATATGAATATACACACCCTAGTTCACGTTCTCTCTCAATGAATTTATTTTTACTGATAATCATTTGCAAGAAGCAATTGTTTATTTGCTTTACGGTGAGGATATAGTTGGCGATAAATACTTAGTCAGTAGCGTAGCCTACCAGCAAATTTTAGTCTCGAAATGTGAATTTGAGGACATTATTATTCATTTTGTTAGAAATTTATTCTTTTCATAGTACGTGTACGTGTTTTCACAGGCTTATGAAAATCATGAATACCTTTGAGAGAACTAGAGATCGGATGTTGAGATTGATTTAATTGATAGTGATAAAATTGTTTTGTACACTGAGGGTATTATAAAACAAGCTAGATCAATCAGTGCACGCGATTTATTATTTTTCTTTTATATTAAAGAATCGGTGATCATCGAATTTGAGTTAAACCCAATGTCAATTTCATCTTAGTATACTGGAAAAATAATCTAAAAGTTTGGTGTTAGCATAGACAAAAAGATACGACAGTAATTTTATGTTTGTGAGTGTGTGAGAAGTAGCCACAGTTTTAGAGTAGTTGCTGCGCATGCGCAAATAAATATCATCTGTTAAAAAGGTCTATCTTGTTTCATATTTTGGTTATGTTTGGCCATTACAGAATAAGCAAATGACTATGGGGCATAAGCTTTAAGTGACAAGCTTTTATTGATAACGCCTTGTCATTCTATGAAAGATTGTGGAGTCAATGATGATTTCAATATTCTATATGTACAAATATTTTGGTAGCAGTGCATACTAAATAGTCTTAAATTGAAGATTCCTCTCAAGTTTCGGTAAGTCATTGATCATAGCCAAACGATGTACATTCAAAGTTTTGTTGACTCTACAGACACAAGATTTGTTCAAATGTAATTAATTTCTCTTAGAAAAAAACAGCTGGTTCGTCTTCGCTGAGCTGACATTAAAGTACTTTTTCATGCAGGCAAAGCAAGTTCTAAATTTTAAACAACAGCTGTTGAGTACGATTGATGGATACAAGTCTCCTTGCTAATTGGCTATTGACTTGTGAGTTACCTTACTGTCGTCTTATTAAAAGTCAGAGAAAAGTGAAAGTAGTCACGGTGTTGAAGGCTCAGATCTAAGAGGAAAGGTCCCAAACTTGCGTTTTACATACTTGAATTATTTAAACCAATATTCGTAAATATTTTGTAAGTACCTGTTTCAGATATCGACCTTTATCGATAGTGAAAGGAAAGAATTAACTAGATAATTTGCTCCTGGATCTTGTCTCCAGCTGATAGGGAAGGTAATGTTAATTTTATAAGACAGGTGACAGAAAGGATTACCTGAAGAGCCCTCCCTCGCAGTTTAATTTATTTGGGGAGCGATTTTCCATTAGTTCTTTATGCCCAAGATTGGGATCTGGCGTTTCACCTAACAATTTTGTTGATTCAATGAACATCAAAAGGAGAACTCGTATTTATGAAAGCTTTTAAAGCAAATGTTTCTGTCAGTAACTACTGAAAATATTTATTGGGATGGTGCTCTTTAAGAGACATTCTTCTTTTTGCAGTTTGAACAATGCATGTGGCTTCTTAACCCTTCGTGGGATGCGTTTTTTGTTTTGTTTGGTCTCATTCTCCAGTAATCAATGTGGATTGATGTTGCATGTACGTTGTCAATTGGCATGATGGCTGCCAGTACTAGTCGAATGCGTTTTCTAATCAATAAGGCAATAAGTAATCTTATTAGATATGCATATAGCACCAGGTTTCACAGTTAAGTGAGTCCAGAGTTTAATTTATTTATTATGTAGAGGTGCACTTAAAAGGTAAATGAAGGGCAGTCAATTTTATTCAAAATTTAAGGTGAATGCTGGATTTTATTCATGTTTTACTATTAGTTTTATAGATCCATACTACATACGCTATATTGCAGGACAATATAAGTAATGCATGTCTTTCATACTGTAATCCCTTTACCTTCTACAAATTTAATATGGTTCTATAATGGGAAAACTCAAATATCTAAAATAACTCTGAGTATTATCATTTCAATATTAGTAATAAGGTTATGGGATGATCGGGCGTAAAGATATGAAAACCGCTGCTGGAAAACATTTAAACGAGGTAACAGTTTTCCAGGCTGTTTTCTTACTGAATAAACGCCAATTGAGCAAACAACTTTTGCTTCAAATGGTGCTTGGTGGATTTGTAAAAAGTGATGGTGGCATACAGCAATTCAAAATAGGTACGCATTGTGTACATGTTTCATATGGTGCTCAGTGGAGATTTGTGGCAGTGATGGTGGCATACAATTCAAAATAGGTACATTATTATTTTATGTGTTTCATATGGTGCTCAGTGGAGATAATATGTAACTAATGATGATGGCATACAGCAATTCAAAATAGGTACGCATTGTGTACATGCTTTATATGGTGCTTTCGGTGGAGATTTGTAAACAGTGTTGGCATACAACCAATTCAAAATAGGTACGCATTGTGTACATTTATATGGTGCTCGGTGGAGATTGTGCTGGTGATGATGGCATACAGCAATCCAACATAGGTACGCATTGTCTACATGTTTATATGGTGCTCAGTGGAGATATGTAACTAATGATGATGGCATACAGCAATTCAAAATAGGTACGCATTGTGTACATGCTTTATATGGTGCTCGGTGGAGATTTATAAGCAGTGATGTTGGCATACAGCAATTCAAAATAGGTACGCATTGTGTACATGCTTTATATGGTGCTCGGTGGAGATTTGTAAGCAGTGATGTTGGCATACAGCAATTCAAAATAGGTACGCATTGTCTACATGTTTCATATGGTGCTCAGTGGAGATATGTAACTAATGATGATGGCATACAGCAATTCAAAATAGGTACGCATTGTGTACATGCTTTATATGTTTCGGTGGAGATTTGTAAGCAGTGATGTTGGCATACAGCAATTCAAAATAGGTACGCATTGTGTACATGCTTTATATGGTGCTCGGTGGAGATTTGTAAGCAGTGATGTTGGCATACAGCAATTCAAAATAGGTACGCATTGTCTACATGTTTCATATGGTGCTCAGTGGAGATATGTAACTAATGATGATGGCATACAGCAATTCAAAATAGGTACGCATTGTGTACATGCTTTATATGGTGCCCGGTTGAGATTTGTAAAAGTGATGGTGGCATACAGCAATTCAAAATAGGTACGCATTGTGTACATGTTTCATATGGTGCTCGGTGGAGATTTGTAAGCAGTGATGTTGGCATACAGCAATTCAAAATAGGTACGCATTGTGTACATGCTTTATATGGTGCTTTCGGTTGAGATTTGTAAACAGTGATGGTATCATACAGCAATTCAAAATAGGTACGCATTGTCTACATGTTTCATATGGTGCTCAGTGGAGATATGTAACTAATGATGATGGCATACAGCAATTCAAAATAGGTACGCATTGTGTACATGCTTTATATGGTGCTCGGTTGAGATTTGTAAACAGTGATGGTGGCATACAGCAATTCAAAATAGGTACGCATTGTGTACATGTTTCATATGGTGCTCGGTGGAGATTTGTAAGCAGTGATGTTGGCATACAGCAATTCAAAATAGGTACGCATTGTGTACATGCTTTATATGGTGCTCGGTTGAGATTTGTAAACAGTGATGGTATCATACAGCAATTCAAAATAGGTATGCATTGTCTACATGTTTCATATGGTGCTCAGTGGAGATATGTAACTAATGATGATGGCATACAGCAATTCAAAATAGGTACGCATTGTGTACATGCTTTATATGGTGCTCGGTTGAGATTTGTAAACAGTGATGGTGGCATACAGCAATTCAAAATAGGTACGCATTGCGTACATGCTTTATATGGTGCTCGGTAGAGATTTGTTAGCAGTGATGATTGCATACAGCAATTCAAAATAGGTACGCATTGTGTTTATGTGGGCAGCCTCACAAATTTATAGACACAATGAAATAGATTATTAAAGTAGTTGAAATAATGATAAATATTTAATATTCTTTACACCAAACTTGTTCAAAATCTGAAAAAGTGTTTTGTGCTCACTGTTCATTGAAATTACCCGACAACTGTCAAAACGTTTGCATTTTTTAAATGTCATCGCTCAGACTGCATGACAGAAAACTGTGACGTCGCTCATATTTTAAAAAATATCTTGCAAATTAATTTATACAATATTGTTTGTTTTTTTAAAAAATATCTTGCAATAATCTAGACTGTAATAAAACAAAGCATTTTGAGAGAAAAGTCAGTGTGTGCGTTGTTCCAGTCTATATTCTTAGCACAAAATCGAATGCAGAAACTCAAACTCTAACCTTCAGTCAATACCAAACTCCATAAACGGCAGGCAAAATGTATTTTAATAAAACAAAACAATAGAAACTCTTACAATAAATAAACAAACATTTTAACATAAAATGTTTAGTATTCATGCTGTTGTTTTGTGTTTTATTACAGACTAGGTATTTTCCCATGTCTTTATACACATACCAGCTCGTTAGCCATAAGTAATAATCCAGTTAGAAAATCATCAAGGTCTAAATGGTACCCTCTCAATCTTCTTAAAAACTTTGAATATTTTTGATAAAACCTTACAAGTTAGAAAACAAATTGTACTACAATTTAATTCATGCTGTTAATTATTCATTTACCTCCCAAAATATTAGCAACCTCTTCTCGTGTTATCAACTTGTTAAACTTCAGGTAAAATAGAAGAGAAGCAAGAAAACATGCTTTTTGATTCACAAATCTCCAAAGGTCGTTAAATCTAAAGATACATAGTGCCTTGTTTATTGGTTGAAAACAAAAACCAAAAGAAATTAATAACAATAGCAATTTTATGGAGGGCTTTGATAGGGTGAGGACTCTGGGGTGTTGACTGAGAAAATTTTGTGATAAAGACGTCCCTTTGGCAGGATGAGTGAAACAATTTTGTTACTTGGACGTCAGAATGGAGGGGTGAGGGAAAGGAAGTCAGTATGGAAGGGTGACTGAAGCAACTTTGTGGTAAGGATGTCATTGTGGAGTGATGAGTTAAAGAATTTAGAGGAAAGGATGTCACTGTTGTAAGGATGATTGAAAAAATTTTATGGAAAGGATGTCACTGTAAGGGGTGATTGAAGAAATTTTGTGGAAAGGATGTCACTGTGGAGGGGTGATTGAAGAAATTAATTACAGAATTTATTAATTACCTATAGTACTGTCCAGCTGGTATAATTTGTGTAAGGTCAGAATATTGTGACTTCAGTGTTAAGAACTTATCTTCAGCCTGGTTGCAAATTCCAGATATTTCTACAATAATTAGATGAAAAAGTTTAATAGCAATGATACAACTAAGTTATTCGAGCTACAGTGCACTGACTAAACAATGATGCCTGAGATTTTATAATCGTAAAGTCAATGTCTTGTAAGGAAAAATTTTAACTTGCTTTCTGATTGTGGGTTATGATGAACAGCTTGCAAGATAGCAAAAATTTCTCTTGTTGTCTTTTCAACATTTCTAGCAGCTATAGCAATTTTCTATAAAGAGGTAAAAATAGTAATTTTGAACATCTTTGACCACAGGAAATGCATGAACCGTGGGGAAAATGGCAGTCTGCAATCGTGTTTGTTATCGTGGGGTTTGGAGCATTCCAAGCTCAAAGAATCAAAACAGATAGAAGTACCTCACGTATATCTTGCTCTTCGTCAACATAAGTTTGAATAGAGGAAAACATTGCTATTATTTTATTACCAGCATTGACTTCCATAATTTCTCCATCCAAGAGATTGGGAACAAATATTATCTCTATAGCGACAGGAAGGAAGCTCGTTGTGGTTTGAGAGTCATGTAAAGTTCTTATTTTTTTATCTTTCTTCAATTTCGATAGAATACAGTTGCTGGATACTTATGGATTCAATTTTCCAGAAGCAATCGATGTAGTTTGTCTTTTTTGTCTATTCTTCTATTTGTGAAAAGGAAAAGATAACTGTTCATTCAAACAAATATGTTGGATATGTTATTTACTTATTACCTTATAACTAACTATAGAAGAAATATTTATGTTTAATGACTATGAGTCGCTCAAGCAAGTTGTCTTCAGTCGATAAATATTCAAAAGTATGTGTTTCTTGAAGAATTTGATAAATCATTGCTTCAGAAAAAGCACATATAATTATATGACTGAATATGCTTTTTTCTAGGCTACATCACGATGAAAAAACTATAGTCTATTATTTGATTCATATTACTACATTGGCTTTGATTTCTTGCAAAGATTTTATTATATTCTTTTGCTAGTCCAGGACAGTATTGAATGCAGTGGCTTTACAAGATCACTTGGTTAAATCATTGTCCCTTCAAGACTCATGGAATAGCAAAGTCAAGCAGCATAAATATAATTCTAAGAACTTTTCAAAGACAAAGAAAGGATCCTTTAAAAGCTCTACTAACAATGACAGTAATAAAGAGTATGTTCTTGATGAAGAACCTAAGCCACTTACCTTAGGTATGTATGTTAAAAATACTTTCTTTCAGTAATCATTTGTTTTTCAATTTGTAAATTTTAAACTTTTTGTATAAAATTACATGCACTGACAATTTTATATGCATAGAACATGCTCATTTTCATGAAACCAACATACCATATGTATAATGTGATTGGTTTGAATTTGTGAGTATGGTTATTTGTTTGTAGTTGTAGATCATCCAAGTCAATGCAGTCCTGAAAAGGATCGATTGTGACTGATACTTCTACATCTTTAGCTGTAGTAACCTCCAAATGTGAAAGATGTTGAAATGTCAGTCACTAACACCTATAGGTCTTCACAAGACTGCAATATTAACAGCTCTAACCTAGACAATGTACAAACATGAAAGCATTTGTATATTTCTATTTGTGTTAATCAATGTGTTCTGAGTTGGTTTCATGGATATTTTAAGCTCAAAAACTTGGATTGGTTGAAGCTCCATCAGCTCGCCTTACTGACAAACAATGGAGGGATGTTAAAACAAAGTCTAACAAAAGAAATGATTCTGGTCAACCTTGCGTCATTTGTAAAGAGGAATTTAGAGATCAAAGCCAGGTAGGATGACTACACATAGTAGGGCAGATACGTACAAAGACTTAGTTTTGGTAGTATTTATATAAATATTGCCTTGACTGGTAAATTTGTAATCGTGAATGACAATTAAATTTTGCATAATAATCCAATTTTGTGTTTTCTTTGTTAGGTATTGTTGTCTTGTTCTCACGTTTTTCATTTGGTGAGTTTATCATGATTCTTAACACAAATAATATTTGTTTTTTGCTCATTAAAACATATGATAAATACAAAATACATCATTCTAAACATTGCTTATGGCTACTTACTTGTGGGAAACCGTTAACAAATTGAGGGTCAAGCAAAATAAACTGTAGCCACTAATGTCAAGTTAGACATAGTTACTTTGATAATGATTATGATATTTATAGTTATTTACATAGTAAGAGGTATCAGATCACTGCGGATGTTCAAAGTGATATGTGGTGTAGTGCTTGGGGTGGAGGGGAGAGGAGTGAAAAAGCTCAAGAGGGATGGAGCTGCCTTGGACGTTAAGTCATGGCTTTAGTTTAAAGATGAGGAGGCTTTTATGGATCATGAGGTCAAACATGTCAGAGCAGAATGAGAGGTTTTGGTCTTAATAAACAGGATAGTTAGAGAGATCAGTTTGAGAAAAAATCTTTGACAGGGGTTAGTATAGCGTTTTCCAGTAATAGGAGAAATTCAAAAGTGCTCAGTGATTATGATATAAGAGGCGTGTGGGTTGACACACATACGACATGGAAGAGAATATACACATGTGTAAATAGATAACACTAGATGTTAGAGACTTGGCAATTTTATCCTTAAATGGAAAAAATGAAGAAATTTGTGTGGGGCAGCTAAATAAAGACAAATCTGACATTAAGATGAGAGAAAGCAAGCAGCGTTGCAGATACGATTGATTTGTGTGTGGATTTATAGGAAGTGACAGCCTGTAAATCTGTAAATGGGAGACAGAAATACATTATTTTCTTTGGAACACTAAAGAAGGATGATGTCTGTTCCAATTTCATGTCAAAAAAACAGCGGATATTGCGGTCAAACATATGTGTAGGGTAGCAATTGAGCTTGAATAGTTTTTTGATGGTTTCAATTTGAGCATGAAAACTCTTATAGCTGAAGCAGAGGTTGAAGATGCGGTGTAATAAGTCAAAGACTAAGTTGCGCTTGTAGGGAAGTGAGATGAAGCTGTGAAAGTATGTGAGAAGACCGATGAATGAAGGTTTACGATATACAGAGGTAGTGAATATACTGTTTGAGCGGTAAATATCAATGTCTAAGATTGGCAATCTTCCATTATTTTCCGTCTCAGAGGTGAAATTGATATTGGGGTGTTGATGGTTGATGTAGTCTTAAAAGGAAATCAATGATGATGTAGATCACAGATGATGTAAATAGTAGATTACAGATGATTGTTTCATTCAAGGGAATGTTTGTCAAGACGGAAGTTACCTCAAAACCAGCCATAACGGCTATTTTAGAAATTATGTGTTTGGCTCTAATATTTATATTGAGTATCTACAAAATGTTATCCAAGATTGAACACAATATGATTTTACTCCCAGACTTTAACAACACGTTGATCTCCTGTACCCAAATTTTTTTATGAAAGCAATTTACTTAGTTATTTGTCCAATACTCGGTAAAACATGATTTTCAATGCTTTTCTATTCCTAAATTAGATGTCTTTATGGTAAGTAAATTTTTGTGCATTGAAATGATGTCTTAAATATGAAAGTACCCAGAAGCTTTGTGAAAAATATTTTAAACTTACTGTCTGTTGTGTACTAGGTTTGTCTTCGAGCTTTTGAAAAATTTTCTGGTGGGAAAACATGTCCTATGTGCCGAAAGGAACAATATGAAACGCGATTAATACACGAAGGTCGGAAACTGTGGCGACATAAATGTGCAATCAAGTGAGTTTTTGAGCACATTCCAAACTTTAAATAAATAACCCTTAAACAGTTAAAACCCTGAAAAATTCGGCAGGTTTAGTATGAATTTTTATTATGGTGATATGGTGTTGTGTTATTTAATTTTCTGTTTTTCCCAATTTTTCTGGCATTCTTTTAATGATACTGGTATTTTGTAATTGTTATTCATAAAAAGCAAATCCTTATGCACTTATCGAGTCCTTTTTTTTATTTATGGGCTCCAACTACAAAATGTTTTGTTTTTGCACACCTTTGGTCACGGTAATTTGCGTTGACTTTGGTCTTTTTTAGAAACCTTTTTTCAAAAGTTCGGACTAAAACTTTTTTCAAAAGTTCGGACTAAAACTTTTTTCAAAAGTTCGGACTAAAACGTTTTTCAAAAGTTCGGACTAAAACTTTTTTCAAAAGTTCGGACTAAAATTTTTTTCAAAAGTTCGGACTAAAACTTTTTTATGTCTTGAATGTTCAGAATGCAACGCACGTGATCAATTAAATTCGCAACGTTAGCCATGATAAAGGTGTCTTATTTGAATTTAGAATCCAGTCAAGGTGGCGTGGTTATGTTATACGGTCGTGGTACGTCAAATTAAGGAAGACAGTTCCACCAAATGACCCATTGTTGAGGAAAAAATTTTTCGAAGAAAAGGTTTCCGCATTGGAACAATACACTTATTTTTTGTTATTTTCTAATGCAAAACAACTGATGCTTGTGAGGGGAGAGAAGTATTCAAAGATTTTTCTGTAGAAGAAGTAGTATATGATATTAAGATTAGAGGTTTGATAAAAACTTAAAAATTGGTCACAGCTATATGTTTGAGTAATTTGCTGTTTTGTTTGCCGTGTGTCTTTCGTAACTTGATCGTTGTAACTAGCTACGTTTTCTTGTTTCGTGTGCATTACTCGTCTCTCTATGGCTTACATTATGTAGACAGAAAATAATCACTTAGCACTGTTATCACAATCGAACAGTACACTACATCTTGACTATAGGAAACAGGGAGTAAAGTGGAATTCAACAACCTTTTACCTTAAGTCAACCTAAAACGCGATATTTTCACTGTATTACAACCCTTTCTCTTTGACTTTAGTTGACTTTTTTTTATAAAAAAATCTTTGTTTCAGTCGAAACGCAAATAGTATTGATAATGCCACTGGTGTTATCCTATTTGTCATTTGTCATTTTTCATATTGCTTCTGTGTTACTCTGTGTTTCATCGTACGCATAATGCATGACGCTACATGTTCGTCAATTTTTTAAACAAAAAGTTTAAATCGAAAGAAAAAAATTTGATTATAATTTAATAGGATGAATTCTTTACGGTTTTAAAAATATCTTGCAAATGAAAACAAACAATATTGTATAAAAATTACTTTAAGTAACCTTTTTGTGATGTTCTGAAGTGCAACTGCATCAAATACTTGTAAAGTTGTAGCACATTTTGATTTTGTTGTATTGATATATGAATTGGGCAAAATGCAAATAATCATTAAAACACTTATGCTTCCAATGGTGTTTATAAATTATAATTCATTTGTAGTTTTAATACTTCTACCTTTCTTTTTCACTTTGTTTTGTTTTTCCTATGTTTGCAATAAAAGTGGACTATAATTTGAATGATTAACACAGTTTTCACCTCAATAATAAATTTCATAAGCAGATGGTAGTGCATTTTGTTCTCTGAGTATCCACATCTAGCATCATATCCGAAAACTGAAACTCATTAAAAAATAATTGTCAGAATTCTGCATGTCTTAAAAAAATCAGAGACGAAATTTGTACTTCTGTATAAATGATACGAGGAACAAAGAATTATGTAAATTTATATAATTAGAAATATTTTATTCGAAAGATTTAGAAACACTGAAACAGGAAGACAATGAAGATAGAAAAAGAAACAAAATATACTTTTTTTCAAATCCTAAATATCTATTACAGCATTTTTACATTACTTACGCCACATCTTTGAAATTTCTGGAGAGTTGATCTTACTCAGCAAAAATGATTTGTGGTAAAAAATCGGTAATTACCACAAAAATATCAAAATCAATCGCACAAAAAGATCTGGTCAACTAACTCAAAAGATGCATGTGATAGTTATTGGAGGTGAGAAATATTTTTGAAAATATTTAATGAAACGTACCATATAAGTCCTGCTCGATTTTCCTGCTCTGACGCTTTGGAGATTTGGGTTTCCCCTGACACAATCGTTATTTGAAAGTTTTGATTGGTTTGACAACCGTTCAAGGCCAATCCCTGATGAGTCATAAAAGTGAAGGCATCGTCTAATGTGTCGCGGTCTATAACCGCACGTAACTCACAAGTTCCCTTTGCTTTAAGGGCTTTGTTTCACATTGAAAGATACATTTCTCTGTGCTACAAGCGTAAGCCTTTCGGAATTTTTGTAGAGGTGATTGATTAATGAGGGTAAATTTATATTTGCAGAGTATAAAATTGCAGACATTTTAACAGAAACCTTTTGATATCATCTTAACAGTGTAAAGTATGTCGATTGTAAAAGATTTAAACGTTGATGATTTGAAGCGTGTGATAACTATGCAACATCGTGAACTTATGGTTAAGAATGAACGTTTGAAAGGTGTACAAGATTTGACTCGCATTTGCAGTGAATTGGAAGAGAAACGCGCTCACTGGCAAACAAAAGCAGAGAACTTCGAGACGGGTCTCAGCAAGGCAGAGGCAAGGATTGCGTATTTGCAGAAAAAACTAGGCATTGGACCACAATCGGCGTTTAAAATCGATGTCGTAAACCCTGGAATATCGAAGAAGGATTTCAACAGAATTACTCAGGAGAATATGAAATTAAGGGAAGCACTGGATCACATTGTCGCCACAGGTCTGGGTGGCGATAAAATTGCTTTAGTAAGTTAGTTATGTCTTCAAATACTGACTATTGATTTGGAATTTTAAAAAATTGCTTTAATCTAGCTATAGTTCGCTTATTTCTAACTCTAATTATGCTGTGAATGTTCCAGAGAATACATCGTATGATACCGAGAAATTTAACTATAAAGAACAGCTTTCCTTGGTTGAAAATATCGTTAAAATTTAAAATATTCTGTTGGGATTCCCCGTTCCCATGATGCATTTTGTTTACTTTCACTTTCAAAGATTCAGAGGCTATTTCCCTTTTTTTTCCTGTCTTACCGGTTCCAATATTGTACATTTCCTCAATAGGGTGTATTCTTGTTATAACAATAATTCCTGTAGGTCAGCATATTATCAAGCATTGTTCTATTGTTGTTAAGGAAATGCAACCAACTCCTTAGCTTTTTCACACCCTTCCTACTTGTACTATTACAAGGAGGGGGAGGTGGACACAACTTTTCTGCCCACGTCATGTTACCCTGCACACTCTTGAGTTTAGAAAATCTCGTTCCTTATGCAGCAATATTAAACCTTGGAAATATGCAATATATGGTTGGATAAGAATGCTAATTGAGAGCTGTACATATGTTTATTCACCCCTAACCCCAATTAGCATTTTAGCTTTGCCCCTGTACATGGTCGAAAAAATGGGCACCTATGGCTCCTTGAAAGGGCTTACAATGCATTTGTAAGGTCTATGTTAAGAATAAATATTTTTTGGCTAAGACTTACTATAGTAATCATGGAGCACCAAAATGTTTGCAAGGTTGGTCATTGTTGCAGCATTTGGTTTATATGGTTAACTAGATTTTAGTTTGTATCTTCATTCATGCTAACAGAAAAACAAAGAATTATATGAAATGGTGATTCGACTTCAAGATGAAATAAGCCAGTTGAATTACCAAATCAATGAATTACAGTCAATACTGAATGGCAAGGACAATGAACTAATGATAAAAGTTAATGATCTCCTAACGGAAAAGATTCGAATAGAAAGGTTAATGAATGCCAAGCAATATTTTGCCGAAAAACTATTAAAAGAAAATGAACGTCTCAAAGGTTTAGGTAAGAAAATTGCCTCGCGCGAACTTGATGATGATGATGATGTTATTGATGGGAAAGAAGATGTTAGGAATGTGACTCGTGAAGAAGAAAAAAGGGTGAGTTATGTCTTTGCTTTTTACCAATTTCATTTTGATTGTGGACTTTGAAAGTAAAAAATGTTAGACATAAAATGTTTTTTCAACATCATAAACTCCATGTACGTGGACATAAATGCAGTATGTGGACTATATATATGTATCTTTTTAAAAACCATATCTTTGTTTTGCTTCTGTTTTTTTCTTCAACATGAATTTAGTTACCATTTCATGTTCATCACCATACCCTTGGTTATGAGAAATCACCATGCCATTGGTTCTGAGAAATCACCATGCCCTTGGTTCTGAAAATTCACCATATCCTTTTTTCTAAGAAAGCACCGTACCTTTTGGTTCTAAGAAACCACTATACCATTGGTTCTGAAAATTCACCATACCTTTGGTTCTAAGAAACCACTATACCATTGGTTCTGAAAAATTACTATATCTTTTGTTCTAAGAAAGCACCGTACCCTTTTGGTTGTGGAAAATGTTTTAATTGTCGAATTTATGGTGTTAAAAAAACGGAACCGAACAAATGTTTGAATAGCGGCAAAATACAAATTCATCGTTGGTATTTGAAAAAATCGTTGGTATTTTGATCGTGTTTTGATAGCATTCTATTCATGTCTTTATTAAATTATCGCATATGTAGGTTGACGAAGATGTTCTCAATGCAAGAGTGGAAAAAATGACAAGAGAAATTCACGAAAAAGATAAGCTCATTCAAAGTCGTGACGATAAAATTGTGGAAATTGAAACGAAATTACAAGATTCGTTAAAAAAAAGTGAGCATCTTGAAGAAGAATTGAAAAAAGCAAATGAAAGAAAGGAGAAAAGTGAAGAAGAACTGAATAATGTATCTAAGCGATGTGCTGATTTACAGAAAAAATGCACTGGTTTCTTTAATCAAGTCGTCAGCTTAAACTCTAAACAGCAAGAATCAGAGGAAGAGATATCATCATTAAAACGAAAAATCGAAAGTCAGCGTGTTCAAGAGCAGGATAATGAAGCAATGTTGATCATGATGCGAGATTCAGTAAGCTAATAGTTATTTATTGTGTAAACAAGTGTAAAACAAACTTTTTTCGTTTATATCGACTTGTAAAAAATTGTTTTCTTACACATGAACAGGACTAATAACATGCCGTTATTCCACCTTTTTTACAGATTAAAAACCACGAGCATGATTTCCGTCGTGAAAACGAGGAAAAAATACAATTGAGGAAAAGAAATGAGACGCTGCAGAAAGAGAATGAAATTTTGAAGAGAGAAAATCAATCTCATACGAACACTGCTCGTCGCTTTGAAAGAGAAGTAAGAAATAAGAATTTGTCATGCCTTTTTTCGAACTTAATTATTGCTGAAAATTTCATGTGATGTGTTTTAAGAGAACATGTTATGGCCAAATCATAAGATGTTTAAAAGGGACAAAAAATCCATATATACATACAAATGAATTTCCCCATACTCCTTGTTGCATTAACTAACATTTGCAATATTAGTACTATTTTTGCTTTATATAAGAATTTGTTTAAAGCTCTAAATTGTTATTTCATTTCAGACCGAGAAAGTGAACAGCCTTTTGCAAGAAGAACGTATGAGACGTAAGGTGAGTTCAACAATTTGAACCAACAATTTAAAAATGTCAATTGATATATTGAAACCTTGAAATATGCACATGAAATAAATCAATTTTTAAATTTTTACTTCTTTACTTCAGCCTACAGCTAGCTTCCCAACTGCCTTCGGATTACCTTTAGGAGCAGGCATGAATTCATTTCAGGTAAGCATGATTTCACTATATTTATGTAAGGCATGTGAAGTTTTCTATTGTTTCAATCAAACACAACCATCATATGCATTGTTGCTCGATGTAATCCTGCTTCCTTCAACATGCAACGTTATTTCTTATACTTAGAACCTCACATCTCCAGGGATCGTTGTTGCAGATAGCGCTAGAAATGAATCTAACGACTTAAGACATGATGGCAATTCGACGACAGCAGATTCTTCTTCGACACTTATTGAATGTCCATATTGCTCTCGACATTATCCATATCATCTTATTGAAAGTCACGTGCAAGATTGTATGGAAGATTCATTATATTCAAACGATTAACCCCGGCTTATCTTAAAACATGTGTACACGTATTGGCAACTATATTTGCTTGACGTTGTGTGAAGGAGGCATTCAAGTCCTTTGATGAGCAAAAATTGAATATATCGTGGAAATCATGAGCGTTTTGTTGAGGAAATGCGGGAAATATTCTGGTCTGTTTTTCGAGAAACCACAGGAACATTGCAGAGAAGCTAATAAAACCAGGTTCTCAGGGCTGTCAGTTCGACCATTTGCCCGGGCAACGAAAGATTATTGGAGAAATGTAAGCTTTTGGTAAAACGTAAAGTTTACTTAATGATCTGAATGAAAAAGGGAAAAAGCGTTAAATGTTTTGCCACATCGTGGGCTCAAATGTCAGTCTACTGCAAGTTAAAAAACTTTTTTGTCATGTCATCGTTTTTTATTCAAGTGAGAACTGCTTGGCTTTGTGCTTTAAAAAATGGAGAATTGGTCTTTGAAATGTCGAATTCATAATTGCAAATTTTTGAAGCTCGCATGACGTTGGTAAATCTCGTCTGGTGTGTGTGTGTGGACCTTGCATCTGTCATGAAAATAATGCTGCATATTAACTTTCGAATCCAAGCCCATGAACTAATAGAGAGGCTTCATTGAATTTTGTGCAAAATCCGTACTTTCGATCTGAAAGAAAGTATACTTCGGAGATAAGGTTCATCTTGAATTTAATATTTTTAGAAAAGGGATACAATTTTACAACAGTGATATTTTGAATTTATATCAAATTCTTAATGAATATTATTGTAAAATTGTCTTCTTTATCTCAAATATTAAATAAAAAATGAACATTTTATCGCGAATATATATAAATGTATCTTACTTAATGAAAATGTAGGCTTCAACTTCAATTAGTCCACTTTGACGGAAGAAGCAAAAATTGAAAGGATTGATTTAAATGTACTTCATGGCAGAAATGAAGAAATGACACTAAGTTTAACTGCTCTATGTTTGTATCGTCATGGCAGGAATGAAGAAATGACACCACGTTTAACTGCTTCATGTTGGTAAAACTTGGACGAAGATAATGGTAAAATCATCATCATCATGATCGATTCTTTTGAGTTACCTAGATTGATTATTGATTTTAATGAAATGTTATATTATAATACTCTCAGAATTGCAGTATTTTCATGAGCCTTACTCTTAGTCATTGCTATATTTGTATTTTTCTGTCTACAAGTTTGAGTCTACGAGTATACTTGTCCACGATCTCATACAAGTTCTATGACATGGTGTAATGTGGTTCATGATGAGCATCACAATAATACTTGTTCTTACTTGCCCACTAGAGACTTGAAGTATTGTAGAATTATTGTTTTGTTTTTTTTAAGAAATTAAAATCTTCACTCGGCTAACAACCCATAAAGGGTAAATGCAACGCAAACTAGTCTACACAGCTAATAGAATGCTTCCCTTAACAGTAAAGTTGTGCGAAATCCGTAAGAGCTACATCAATGCCATGTGCTTCTTTTTCAATTTCGAATAAAGCATATAAAGACTTTTATCTAAAATTCAAATGGGGATCGCAGCCAATATTTAGGGGGCACGTGCCCCCTTCCCAGGCCCTCCCTTTATCGACGCCACTACATGTTGGAATGAAAGTGGAGGTACTGAGTTATATTATCACTTAGTTTAACAATTTGTCTAACTGATACACAAAGTTTGTGCAGTCAGTTTATTTGAATACAATGACTACTTAGTCAGCTGTACATTAGAAATATATATGAAGCAGAGTGTTCTGTAACTTAGGCTTTGTATTTAAAAAAAGTTCACATTTCTTATAAAAGATGTGATTGCCTTCTAGAATTAATTGCAAAGACAGCCATGAGAAACTTGAAACACGGCTAACAGCCAAAGAACTGTTATTGACGTTTGTACCATTTCTATGGCGCGCCAAGATGGACAATATTACCAAAATCGAAAATATTTACAACGAAACACATTATCGTATGTCGAAAATAATGTACTGGCAACTTTTTCTATATTTGTAAAACGAAACGCAAAAATATAAAAGAAAACAAAAATTCGTTTACCATAATTTATATATATACAACGAAATTTATTTTTCAAGTTATGAAAATTATTTTTATAAAACGAAACTCATTTATATAAAACGAAATTGACATTCATAAAACGACATTTTCTTCAAACAAACGACATTTTTAACCGCTTTTTTGCGGCCATTATTTCGTAGCCTGCAAAGAGCCATCCACTATAAAATTTTGAGCATGTCTTCGCGAAGGAACTTACATAACTTGACAAACCTTGTTGCAGCAATCAAAAGGACAGGAGGGTTACTGCATTACTTTATCGCTCCAAAATTATGAACACTTTCAAAAGTACCATGTTTTTGGCTATGTGCATGTGTGCAACCAGGCAATGATGCAACAAAAAAAATATCTAACAAGAGTGGCTACGGTTACTAGCCACTCTTCCAGTTACTTCTTGTGAGTGCGAACGCTCTATTTCAGCACTTCGCATGCTTAAAACTTACAACAGAAGTACGATGGTTGAAGAACGCTTAAATGGACTTGCACTAATGCGAATACATCAGGAAATAGAGCCTACTGTTGATGAGGTGATCAATAAATTTGCGTATGGAAACCGGCGATTAGAACTGAAATTGTAAAAATTTGACTCTTTAGGCTTGGTCATTATAGTTTTGACGAGAAGGAAAGAAAGAGCTTCTAATTTTTTGTATAGTCATGATATCTCATAAATCTTAGTGACAAACGTGTCACTTAGCCTTAATTTTGTATATTAAATAATTTCACTATGGTTAATCCTCTGAGCCTGCGTGAAACCATTTTGAAATTATTTGTATGATGTGTTGCATCATTTTAATATGTCTATTCAAGTTTGAATTAGGAATATTGGATGTAGTATTTCATCTCTTTCTCGTAGCACTTTTTAAAAGAACATTGAAAACGTCAATTTATGTGTGTCATACACAGCACAATTGCTTTTGTATCTCTGTGAAAATGGTACAAATATACAACATCTTCTGTCACTAGACTTTTAAAATGACCACCACTAAGGTTGTCGAAACGTCAGTCAACATCAACACCAACAGTCCTTCTAAGGACTATACTAACCACCCGGGCGATCTACATCTTAAAATATATATGATGCGCGTTTTGATGAAGTTACCTAACATACAAGAAATATTTTATTTCATACAAGAAATATAGAACAACCCAACGAACGACGAGGTGCAGTTTACAAAATAAACTGCTCCGACTGCCACGCCTCCTATATCGGGGAAACTGGCAGGAACTTAAACATAAGACTTACTGAGCACAAACGAGCTACTAAGAAACAAGACAAAACTAATCACATTGCCGAACATCACCGAATCACAAAGCACAACATTGACTGGGACTCGGCAAAATGCATCACTTACAGTACAGACTATAGACAACGGCTTACATTAGAAAGTTGGTATACCAACTTGGAACAAACCCCCCTGAACAGATCACAGCAATTACCGGCACCTTACAAACGACTTATTCACAATACAAACAAACGATCAACTAAAAACATTACACTTCAAACTAATTCACAATGACAATACACAATTGACACCCACACATTACAACTAAAAACGTCACACCTAAATCACACATCACAACTAAAAATAAAATATTTCACTTCACACTAATCCACAATGACAATACACATTTCCTGCACATTTCCTGTACACACAATACAATGACGTAAGAACCAGACAATAAATACGGCTAACCTGACGTTTACTCCTCATTTGACTCTGAAGATGACTACCGCTAAGGTTGTCGAAACGTCAGTCAACAACATCAAAAACAGTCCTTCTCAGGACTTTATTAACCTGGACGATCATCATTTACAAACATATAACGATACTCCCGAGTTCAAACCATTTACTTTAATACAAGAAATATTCAACTTTTGTAAGGTCTTAATTAATGCATATGCGTTTTGATCTGGGAATAACAACAACTTTAACTAATTGTGATACTTGTGAAGGAACAATTGACCTTATGAAAGACCAAATATTTAACTTCATCATTAACAGGGTTACTGACATTTGGAGTCATGCTCTCAAAGGAATTAATAAGTTAACTGTGTCACCAGTCAATAGCTTATCTTTTCCTAAACAATACCTTTTTATAAAAGAAATCAGTTTGAGCTTGGAGTATCGTCAAAATTTATGGAAATTGAATGTTTAGGTCAGCGTTTCGACGTTTTCTTTAGCGGTGGTTTGTGTTACTTTTCTGTCTAGCTCGGCAAAATAACCATTAGATTCAGATTATGTGTGTGCATATTCTTGGGGCGAGGTTAAAGGATTAGAATGACAGGGATGATGTAGAAAACTGAGCAATTTTACATCTTTGAAATGTCCCACGTTGTCGCTTTTTCTAATCAAACTCCTGTTGCTTTGTTGCAAAGGTGTGAAAGGCGAGTATCTGGCGCCTTAAAACCAGACTGCTCTCTTTTTGTTTATGGCTTCTCATTACGTTGAGGCTGTCCATGTCGGAATTGCATTTTCACGTGGTGAGGGTGCCATTTCCTAGGCATGCTGATGAGCTCTGATATAGGGTGAAACAGTCCTTAAAATTCATCATATTAACAATGTTGCGTTAGAATTTTTAGCTTCGACCACGCCCTTCCGACTAAGGAATTAAAAATCCTGGATCCGCCCCTGCGCATTGTCAACTTTCTTGTTCTCCTTCCATTGTATTGCTCTATAATAAAGCTAAATATCTTAACGTTTTAAGTTCTTTATTATTCGTGAAAAGCGGTATGTGGAATGACAATTGAAAATTGTAATTCCAATGCCTGATCAATATTCTAAGCTTTTTAATGCATAAAATATTGTCAACTAGAGGTGATAATATTACACGCACACATGCTTTATAGCTCCTGGGAATTTAACTATTTCAACTAATTGCTATGCACGACTTCGATTGTACTTGTTTACACACCCTGGGATTAGCACTACTGATCAGACATTGAAATTCTAAGAATTGCCAAATTTCTTAAGATACAAAATGTATGTTCAACTAATTCAACTGCAGAATATATGTGGTTTACTTCATGTGAATTCTAGGGAATGTGTCAAGATAAACGATGAGGACGATGAATGGTTTTGCCAGTACTGTGAAAACTTAAATAATGATAACGACGAAGTATAAGGGCCAGGGCAAATATAAAATAAATAAATTTTTTCCACTTTGTTGTGTTCATGCATTTGTATTTGAGACATGCATGGGATGAAGTGTTCATAAATTTAAATACTTACACGGACACTTACCAGACAAAATACGAATAAACGACATCGTTTGGTTTTGGAAAAGAAAATATATTTAGGCAAGTGTTTTGCCGTGTTTTACAAATAATGACGTAATATACTGAACCCACGCATCAAATTTCAATATGGCGTCTGTGCTCCGATCTCTCGATTTAGCTGCAAGTTATTTTCTAATACAACGCCATATTGATTCTCACTACTTTGGGGCTCCGGAAGTAAATTTGCCCGGCTTCAACCACTACTTATGAAATGTAAGCCGTTGCACTATCTAGTCTATTATTAGATCTGTGGGTATCATGCATTATGACGTTTTACGAGAGTAGATGAAGGGGGTATCATGCAATATGAGGTTGAGGATAGTTGATGAAGGGGGTATCTTGCATTATGAGGTTGAGGAAAGTTAGTGAAGGGGGTATCATGCATTATGAGGTTGAGGATAATTGATGAAGGGGGTATTATGCATTATGAGGTTGAGGATATTTGATGAAGGGGTATCATGCATTATGAGGTTGAGGATAGTTGATGAAGGGGGTATCATGCAATATGAGGTTGAGGATAGTTGATGAAGGGGGTATCATGCAATATGAGGTTGAAGATAGTTGATGAAGGGGGTATCATGCATTATGATGTTGAGGATAGTTGATGAAGGGAGTATCATGCATTATGATGTTGAGGATAGTTGATGAAGGGAGTATCATGCATTATGCTAAAATTTTTGAGATTTCTTGAGGACGTCGCTACTGTTGTTATAATGGCTAGCCTATTTAGCAGGTCTATTGAGTCATTGACTGAAGCCTGTCTCTCAAACAGACGTCCGACTTGTTTCAGTCGTTTAAGTCAGTCGTCCATA